GAGAGAGAGAGAGAGAGGCAAAGCAAGAAACAGACTCTTAACTACAGAGAATACACTCATGGTCACCAGAGGAGAGTGGGGGAAGGACGAGGGTTAAGGATGCATTTGTGATGAGCACTGAGTGTTGTATAGAGATGTTGAATCAGGGGCACCTGGGTGGTTCAGTCGGTTAAGCATCTAACTCTTGATTTCGGCTCAGGTCGTGATCTCACGGTTCATGGGTTGGAGCCCCGCATCGGGCTCTGTGCTGACAGTGCAGAGCCTGCTTGGGATTCTCTCTCCCTCTCTTTCTGCCCCTCCTCCACTTATTCTCTCTCTCTCCCAAAATAAATAAACTTAAAAAAAAATGTTGAATCAATATATGGTACACCTGAAACTAACTCTGCATGTTGACCATACTGGAACTGATATAAAAACTTAACTAAAAAAAACAACCCAGGACATTTGCCTGGGCCCCAAGGGAGGCCAGGATCCGACCCTCCAGGGACACAGGCGGTGGGTTCTGAGGGAAGGGGCAGGGTGGGGGAAGGAACGGGTGGTGTCTCCCTGAGCGGGTGGAGGGCACAGCCACGGCACTCCTGCCCCCAGACCCCAGGGTTAATGTCCCACAGCATCTCCCTGGAGAGCCACCTCTGCCTCTGGGACACACTCGGGGCAGCCGCGCGTACCGGTCTCCCTGACATGCAGAAGATGCTGAAGACGGTGTGTGCCTCGAGGCCACGATGTGGCTGCACTTGACAGGTCACGGCCCACGGAGCTGGCCTGAGCGTCACGTAAAGCTGAGCTCGCCCCAGGAAGCCGTGCTTGGAGGCTGTGGAGGAGAGCGTGACAGAGAACTACAGTTGCACGAACGCACGGTCCCAGTGGGACACTGTGTGGCTGCCACCGTGCGATCCCCAGACAGTGGCATCGGCGTCGCCTGGGAACTTGCTAGAGATTCGGATTGGGTCAGAGCCCGAGTGGGGGGACCCAGTGGCGGGTGATTGCGACATGTGCGGGAGGGGGGGACCCTGCACGCGGCACCTGTCATGTGACACGTCCACAGGCACTCAATGTGCAGGCAGCCACACCCAGGCCCGGGGGTTGGGAGGCACACGCAGATCATGCAGATGGAAATCAAAGTCTTGAGCACAGACACTAAATGACACAGGGCTCCCCCTCACCGCAGACTCGCCACCCCCCCCAACCTGGGTCCTCTCAAAGTCTCATCCACAAACAGTTACGTGTGGCTGACTTGAATTTAGCACCAATGCCATTTTTTATGGCTTCTGTCAACTGCATTCATATGTAAATACAGAGTTCAAACTCCCCAGGGAAACACACATAGTCCAATATGCACAACCATGGTTCCCCAAGCATCAAACATTTTATTTCCCATTTGCTACCATGACTGATGATTAGTCATTAATCGTTCCATGTTTGTTCCCATGACGCAATTTTGTTTTGTTTTTCCACTTCTGATGTCTTTTTCTTGAGGTGCAACATCTAAGAATGAGATGTATAAACCATCATCCTAACAGCAGGTGCCACACTGGAGATAACCTCGTTTACCATCCCGCTCCAGGGTCATGTGGACCGTGGAAGTCAGCTGGGGGCCACGGCCCGGCCTGGTGTGGGTGGAGCCCAGGGGCCAGCGTGGCTGCCGGGGCGGCACAGCGAGGTGAGCTGGGACGAGCTGGGCCTCTTGCACAGAGGCCGAGTCTCTTCCCCCCAGAAGGAGTGTGACCCACCTGTGAAAATGGCCCTAAGGCTCGTCATTTGGACAAATGTCAGCAGCAAAGGGAGGAAGGGCTAGCCAATGGTTGGCTCTGTGGTATTTGGGAAAACACAGGGAAATGCTTCTCTTGTACCAAACACAGGCACCTGGGGTTTAGTCTCTGAACGCCCATGGAAGGGGCAGGACGACCTTTGCAACGATGTCAACAGAGACAGGGGGAACAAGAATGAAGCCCAGGGACCCTGCCGGCCCTACCAAGGGGTCTCACAGGGAAGTCAGCCTCGTGCTACATGCCCAGAAGAAAGGAAGCCAATGCAGAATACAACACTTGAAACGCACCAGGGTGTCCACGAGCCCAAAAGTATGGGTACCGACCCAAACCCATCCCTACGTGTAAACCGTCAGAACCTCTGTGCTTCTTCTATGGAACTAAAGACCTCTAGGGGGCGCCTGGGAGGCTCAGTCGGTTGAGCGTCGTCGGACTCTTGATCTCCGCTCAGGTTGGGATCTCACAGGTCGTGAATTTACAGCTTGTGAGTTCGAGCCCCACATTGGGCTCTATGCTGACAGTGCTGGGCCTGCTTGGGATCCTCTCTCCCCCTCTCCCTCTGCTCCTCCCCCATTTGCACGTGCTCTCTCTCTCAAAATAAATAAATTTCAAAAAAAACCCACAACAACTCTCTAGAAATGGGGCAGAATGTCCAAAAATGACCCCAAAGTCAGATGTCAGATTGAGTCACGGGAAGGCCAGAAGGGACACGGAACAGGACGCGGGGTAAACATGTCATGTATTCAACAAACGGTGTCCACAGAACAACAGAAATGCTACCTCGTTGGGTTTTAAATATGTGGAGGAGTTATCGACCAATTTGCAGGGAAAGAAGCAGCTAATGCACTTGTCTCGGACAAAATAAAATAAATACATATGTAGTTTTCTGTGTGTGTGTGTGTGTGTGTGTGTGTGTGTGTGTGTTTAAGGCAAACACCTCAGCCTTTACTGTGACCTAAACACCCAACTGATCCCTTAAGGATCAGAAACACACAAGGAGGCAACAATGAGCAGTGAGTGACTGTGGGGATGGAGGGAGGGTCAGGACACCCGGGACAAGAGCTCGGGAGACTCTGAAGTGGCTGAAATTTCCAGAAAAAACATGAATGTAATGAAACCCCTCATCATCCCCCCGACCGGGTCCAGCTGACAGCGTAACATACCCACAGAGGCTTGCAGGACGTAGGTCTTCCCAGGGCTCAGTGCGAATGGCTTGATTGTCACAGTCTGTCCCGTGATACCTGCGGAGAAGGGGCACACGGAAGCCGTCACGGGAAAGCTCTGAAGGCAGGGGAGCGGGCAGACACCCTGCACCTCCATAGGCAGGGGTGCAGCAGGCTCCTCCCTGCAATGCCCCCAGATGCTCGTCACCCGCCCTCTTTACGGAGCTGAAATCTCTCCTCCAGCGTCCCCTGCCCAACAGCAGTGACCCTGACTGGGGGTGCTGGGAGTGGGCCCAGGGTCACACTAGGCTCCGAGGGAGAGACGACGCTGGTGAGAGCTCACTCTGCACCGGTAGCATTAGGTCCAGTCTCCAAGCCGGCTAGTTTGCACATTCAGTCTGTCCGTGAGGGTGATGAAGAAATTTCAAAGCAGGGGGGCCTGGGGGGCTCTGTCGGTTAAGTGTCTGACTCCTGATTTCCACTCAGGTCATTCGTTCTCAGTTTGTGAGATGGAGTCCTGTGTCTCTGCTGCCCTCCTCTCTCTGCCCCTCCCCTGCACTCTCTCTCTGTCCCTCCCCTGTCCTGTCTCTCCTAAATAAATAAATAAATAAATAAATAAATAAATAAATAAATAAATAAATATTTTAAAAAGAAGATACTTCAAAGCGAT